GCCCCTCGTCACACACAAAAAAACCCTGAGCTTGGAAATTCCCCTGCACAGTTTCTTTTTCCAAAGACACCCAGGCCCTGGAAACCCCCACCTCCTAACTCCTCGGTAGTATCAGGAAAAACTGTATCTTTAAGCAAATAACACGCACCTTCTATGTTTGTTTGAAAACCACTCCCTCCCTTCCCCAGGTATTTTTGTAAATGCACTGTGCTAATTTTTTCACAGCCCATCCCACTCCCCAATCTCCATTGCCCAGTGGAGTCTGAAGTACCTGCCTCCTTTAAAACAACAAAAACTGCTGTTGTGTCGGTTCCAATTCATGTCTGAGCCCCGTTATCACGTGGAGACCAGCCTCAGGCTGAACAGCCCCAACCCTGGTTGATTTATAAGCCCAACCCCAAACGAGCCTCAACTTCAGTCTGAGCCTGACCCCAGCCAACCCTGGCCACAGGCTGAGCTCGACCTAGATGGAGCCAGGGCTGTTGTGTCCAGTGGAAACACGACTGGAAGCCACAGACCAGAGCGGGGATAAAGACATGCTCCCCATGTGCCCCACATCCACCCTCTCTGATCTGCACAGGGTGGGGGGCTCCAGACATCTTCTTTATCTCCCTTTCCTCCTCTCCAGCCCCACTCAGCTGCTAAATCCTGAGTTTCTACCCTGGGCAGCATCCGCAGACCTTCCAGCCAGGTCTTAAACCACTGCCCACCCCACGTGGCCTCTGTCTTAGCTGCTAGTGCTACTGAAGCAGAAACACAAGCAGACGACTTAATGAACAGTGATTTATTTTCTCACAGCTCAGGGCACCAGCTCTAGAGGGAGGCTGTCTACCTGCTCCAGGAAAAATCTTTGTCTCGGCTTCTTGGTGTTCCTTGGTGATCTCCACGTGGCCTCGGCCTACCCTATCCATGCTAGATCTCCACGTGGCCTCAGTCTACACCATCCCTGCTAGATCTTCACGTGGCATCAGTCTATCCCTGTGTACTGGACCTCCATGTGGCCTCAGTCTATCCCATCCATATTGGATCTCCATGTGGCATCACTCTACCCTGTCCATGCTAGATCTACACATGGTATCAGTCTACCCCATCTGTGCTAGATCTCCACATGGCATCTACCCTCATCTGTGCTTCTTTGCTGCTGTGCCTAATCTGCTCATTTTATATCTCCAAAGTGATTGGTTAAGACACATGCCACACTGATGTGGCTTCATTGTAACAAAGAAGACCCTATTCCCAAACGGGATCACATCTTTGGGGATAGGGGTTAGGGTTTGCAACACATATTTTTAAGGGACATAATTCAATCCATAACACTTACAAACCAGAGAAGGAAGGTCCTGCCCTGTTATGCCCCACTTGCTCAGAGGAGGCTGTCTAGGGTATGGGTTTACTTTTCACCAGCTACTGGTGACATGCTTGGGACAGGGTGACCAGCCCAAGGGAGAGGAAGCTGGAGACCAGGCAGATAGAGGATATGAGGAGTGGCTGCCTTGAGCAGTTTCCCCATCTGCCCTAGTGACACCCAGATCCCAGTGAATCTTTCTGTCCAGAGACGCTGGCTCTCTCATGTCGAGCCCAGCAAGGTGTCAACTAGCAAGGTGTCAACTCCCAGACTGAGAAGCCACCTCTTCGCACCTGGGAGTTGCCAACAGCAGAGTTCTCCCTCAACTTGTAGGTGGTGACCAGAGCAGACCCCGGACAGCACAAGGCATTGGTTCCTGGTCAGGGCAGTGGGTAGTGGGGTGGGGAGAGGAGGGGGCCCCGCCTGGTCTCCGCAGTTCACTGCACTAGCTGGCTAGAGCTTCACCTGTGTACAGAAACTATACAGAAACTGGTGTTGGGGGGAAGGCTGGCTGCCCGTGACAACCCCAAAAGTGCAATGGGGAGCCAGTGGAAGAGTTTAAGCAGTTGAGTGATAAGAGCAGACTTACGTGTTTAAAAGAAGTCCGGGTGACACATTGCTTAAGCACTTAGCCGCAAACTGAGAGGTCAGAGGTTGGAACCCAACAGAAAGAGCAGTCTGCTTTCATAAAGACTGGAAACCCTGTGGGGCAGTTCTACTATGTCCTCTAGGGGCGCTGTGAGTCAGAATAGACTCTCCGGCAGTGGGTCTGTTTGTTGTTGTTGCCAGCCACTGTGGAGCTGACCCTGCCTTATGGTGACCCTGAGCACCCAAGCACTAAACACTGTCAGGTCCTGTCCCATGCCTGTGATGGCTTGCAGATCACACCATTGTGACCTGTAGAGCTTTCACTGCTTGGTTTTCAGAAAGATATCAGCAGGTCTTTCTTCCTTGTTGTTGTTGTTATGTGCCATCAAGAAGTCAGACCCAACTCATAGCGACCCCTCCTTGGGTTTCCAAGGCGATATCACTACGGAAGTAGATTGCTCAACCTTCCTTCCGAGGAGTGGCTGGGGATTCAAACCTTAGGCACGATGCTACCAGAGGTCCTCTTTCTTCCTTAGTCCATCTTAGTCTGGAAGCTCTGCTAACGCCCGTTCAGCATCCTAGCAACATGCAAGCCCCCACTGACAGACGAGTGGTGGCTGCATCTGAGGTGCACTGGCTGGGAATGGAACCCCAGTCTCCTGCATGGAAGGCGAGGACTCTACCGCAGAGCTGCCACTGCTGCCCCTCTAGCTAGAGGGTGAAGGGTGGATTAAAAGGTGATAAGAATCAATGCTATCCCCTGAAGCCTTCTCTGAACCAAAACCAAAAACAAAAACCAAACCCCTTACCATTAAGTCAATTCCAACTTATAGCGCCCCTAGAGGACAGAGTAGAACTGCCCCATAGGGTTTTTGGCTACAGTATTTACTGAACCAGATCGTTAGAACTTTCTTCTCCAACATGGCTGGCTGGGTTCAAACTGCTGGCCTTTCAGTTAGTAGTTGAAGGCAAACTGCACTACCAGTGACCCAAAGGACTACACATTATTTTCTTCTAGTTATGTATGTTACTTAAAATAGATGTGCTATGTTATACATAGTAAATTTCACCTCAGCAAGGCTGGTTGCAAATATCATTGGAATGGTTGTTGCTGTTGTCAGCTGACGTGGAGGCATGGGGACGCTGTCTGGTTCTGCACCATCTTTTTTTTTTTTTTTTAATTAGGATTTGGGTGAAGATTTACAGAG